GCACACAGCTAACAAATAGCCAAGAAAGAACTTAAACTCAGATCTGTCTGATGATGCTACCCTCTGGTTTTCAACCTCCATACCACAGGCCTTTGATTTAATTTATAAAACATCGTAGGGACCCATGTTAAATGTCCAAAAGAGACAGACGACTTATATTAGAAGAGTAATGAAAAAAGAAGACAGTTAAATCTTATTATTCTTTGTATGCAGTATTGGGTTCCGAAATAAACTTTATTTCTGAAACACTATTCTTAACGTGTTGTATTATCAAAACATGCAAAACACAACAAAAACATTTTGAATTGCTCTAAGTCCATGAGACTTGCAGTCATGTGGCAGCAGCTGGGAGCACCAGACAGGGCCTTCCCAGGCGCAGAGGCCAACAGCCTCCTGTGGTAACTGAAGACACTGTGGCTGGGAGAGCAGGTCACTGCCAGGCCACCTGGAGCTCCAGTCTGAGCCTAATTCGCCAGGCTTCATTCATGTTCTCCTGGCCCCTTTCACAGAGTTTCAATCTCTCTTCAGCTGCTTCCTGGAAGCACTGAAAATTTCACCTGTCCACTCTCCTTCCCTCGCTCCCTCCTCCCACCACCCGATCACATCTTTGGGCCCTTGGTGAGCAGCAAGCTGTCTGCGCTGGCCCAGCCGCCTGCGTTCACAGCGCGCTACCTGCAGGTGCAGGGAGGTCTGTAGGTGTGAGCTTTAAGCTGAGAGATCCCCCCAGACCCCAGCTATCCTCAGCCCATCACACTCCAGTCTTATTACTCCACAGCAGAGAGAGGGTCCTCCACATTTGAAGGCAACTGCAGTTGAGATGTTGGCAGAGCTGGTCGAGAATTGCATGTCCAATCTTTGCACAGATCCGTGCAGTAGCAAAGATACGAAATTTATCTGCTGTGGTTTGAATGTGTCCCCAAACTTCACGTGTTGGAAACTTATTCCCCAATGCAATGGTGTTGAGAGGTGGAACCTGTAAGACGTGATTAGCTCATGAGGCCTCTGCTCTCGGGAATGGATTAATACCGTTATTTTGGGAATCAGTTATCCTGGGAGTGCGTTCCTGGTAAAAGGACGAGTTCAGCCTCCTTCCTTCTCCCTCTCTCACACACACTTGAGGTCTCTTGCCCTTCTGCTTTCCACCATGGGAAGAGGCAGCGAGAAGGCCCTTGTCAGATGCAGGCCCCTTGACCTTGGACTTCCCAGCTTCCAGAACTGTAAGAAATAAACCCCTGCTCTTGACAAATTGCCCAGTCTGTGATATTCTGTTATAGCAGCACAAAACATACTAAGACAATAACTAAACCAGATAAAGAGATCCATAGAAATATAACTAATGAAGGCCCATTCCTTCAAATCTGAGTTAGATCCAAACTGAAAATCCTGTGGGACACACTTCAGTCAAGCCTTTGCCAACATCCTTCTGCTGAAAACTGCTCTCAGTAAGGTTACTACTACATTAATAAGTCCAATGGACAATTCTCAGTTCATACTACTTGCATTGTCAGTAGTATTTGACACAATTAAAGACAAGGTCAGTCCCTAGATAACAATGTCCCTTGGATAAAGGGTTCATCAATGCCCTGGTGACAAAAGTTTAGCGGTTAACACCAAAATAAACCAGTATTCTTTGTAAGTATTGAATATATGTTTGTGCTTAAGTTAACCATCTATAGGTCCATCTGTGAAATATTCAGTTTTCAACTAAGCTTTTTTATTGTCCTTAGGAAGCACCAAGTTATGGAGTCTGTGTAGAGAATCAATCCCTTCAGAGATGGGTTAAGCCTACGTGGATGTGGTAATCTCAAGCACTACTCACACCCTGCCACTTGGGGGGTCTTTGCTATGCATGAGAAACTGCGTAGTCTATGACTAAGGTCACAGACCTGCTAGATCCTCCTGTGCCCTCCTCCCTGAGTTCCAGTTCTGGCTCGGAGGCTTACCAGCTTAGAGAACGAGAGAAACAAAACACGTAGGGCTGTCATGAGCACTGCCAGCCAAGGAGTGAGTGGCGGCCAGAATTCTTCCTGTGCCCCTCCCACCGAGCCCACGTCCAGTGCAAGCGGAGGGGCTGGCTTGCAGAAGTCTGTCTGTTCAGATGGAGAGACCTTCTAATTCACACAGAGGTGCCAAATGGCCAAGCAGCAGCCCTGAAACGGGGTTCTCAAGAGGCAGAAATTGGGACTTTTGTCTTCCATATAATTTGGTCATAAATCAGTTACAGTGAGAACCCCAGGGCCTCGAACTCGGCACATAGCAGCACTCAACAAATATTTGTTGAATAAATGAATATACAACAATCTGAGAACAAAATATAAGGGCTGAATGTTGAGGAAATACAGCTGGACTCTTCAAAGTGTGGTCCAGGAAACTCTGGGGTTCCCCGAGACTTCAGGGGACCCTGAGGTAAGAACTATTTTCATAATAACACCAAGACTTTATTTGCCTATTTCACTTCCATCGTCTACTATTATACAAAGTTCAAAAAGTTCATTGATATGGTTTCAGATTCTATTATACATTGCAACTAACTGTTAAGAAACTATAACTTGACCAGGTACAGCAGCTCATACCCATAATCCCAGCACTTTGGGAGGCTGAGATGGTAGGATCACTTGAGGCTAGGAATTTGAGACCAGCCTGGACAACATAGCAAGACCCCATCTTTACAAAGAATAAAAACATTAGCTGGATGTGGTGGTGTGCACCTATAGTCCTAGCTACTAGGAAAGTTGAGGTGGGATGATTGCTTGACCCCAGGAGTTGGAGGTTGCAGTGAGCTATGATCACCCACATCAACAAAAACTCTTTGGGCTTTTCAATGGTTTTTAAGAGTGTGAAACGGTCCCAAGACCAAAAAGTTTGAGAACTGCAGGTATAAAGCAAACTCAATTATCAGAATCATCAGGAGAACTTTGTAAAAACACAGATTCTTCGTCCCACCTCTCTAGTTTCTGATTCAGTGGAGCTAGGCTAGAGCTCTAAGAATTTGTGTTTCATAAGAACTCTCTCAGTAGTTCTGATCATCAGTCACTGCCAAAAACAATATAACATTAATAAAAGTTTGGGGAAATACAGGATCAAAATGTACTACGATTGTCAGAGGAGGCCTCAGTTACTCCACAAACATTTATTGAGCTCATATTATCTTCCAGGCACCATTAAGAGCACTGGGCAGACACCAGTGAACACGACCCAGGCCCTGTCCTGAGGACACTCACGGAGCAGAGGCGAGATGGACAGGCCAGGCAGGAGTCAGCACCACACCGATGGGTGCCTGCCAGGGAGATGAGCTGCTGCTGGAGCACGGGGCAGGCGCCCCACTTTGGAAGAGCTGACCTCAAATTATAGAGAGAATCTGGAGAAGCCAGGAGAAAGGGTGACAAGGACACTGTGAGTGGTGGCCTGCAGGTAGACGGCCATGATGCCCATGCCGTGGGCAGTGCACTGACCAGCCTCGCCGGCATGTAGGGCTGGGGGAAGACAGCAAGACGCGGTCAGACAGGTGGGGGCGGAGGAGTTTAAAGCCAATGAGAGAGCTGCTTGGATCACAACTCTAGGGACACAACAGAGGTGGCTTGGAGGGTGACGAACTGAAGAATGGGACACCTGCTAATTGGCAATTAGAATAATGTGATTCTGGGGCATCCAAGCCAGTGAGGAAAATAAGCAACAGTGTTCATGCCCATGGTCTGAAGGAAATTAGATAACCTGCTAAAACTCAAACAGTGGGAAAAAATTGATTTAATTAAACCTCCCTGAACTTTCTATGCTCTTATCTTAGGGGATTTTATGAATCCTTTCATAGCAGTGGCTCATGAAGTCCTGGGGTCATAGACTGAGGGATTTGAGAATCTGATGAAAGCTTTAGATATTCTAAGAAAAAAAGGAACTAAAGCAAAAAACTGTGCGTGGCGAGGCAGGATTTTCTCCACTCTCATGCTCCCTTACCTTTGTAACTTCTTTTCTTCTCTCTGAAAAACGTGTCCTTGATAAGAGGGAGAGAGAAAATATTTTTTTTGGCAGAATTTATGCACCAGTTATTGGTATTGAATATTAGCTGCAGAAAGTTTGGGGGTAGAAATTTCACTCAAGTCTAGGAAGCCTCTTCCTGAGAAGCAAAAGGACCTAATACGGGGATGGAAACAAGGACAGAGTCCGAGTTTGGTGGGAGAGAAGAGGGAGAGATGAACTAGATTGCACAAGCTTTGCTGGATGCCTTGATGGAGAAGGCAAAGAGCTGCACTCGATAAGCAGGAGTGACTGCCTCATAGTAACGCTTTCTGGAGATAGACGGGACCTTTATACCCATCAGACACTGTAGCCATAAGCTGAAGCGAGCTGATGTGAGCCATGCCTGGGTCAGATTGGCTGAGACCCAAAGTCAGCAGAAAGGGAGCCCATTGCTTGTTCCCACAATTAGCAGGACGTGGCTTGCGGCTGGCTGAAAGAACTGTTTCTCTGGGCGAATGGCCAAAGACCTCCCTCCCCGCTCTCACAGAGAGCGCCCTGTCCTCCCTCCCCCTCTCACAGAGAGCGCCCTGCCCTCCCTCCCCGCCCTCACAGAGACCGCCCTGCCCTCCCTCCCCGCTCTCACAGTGAGCGCCCTGGTCCTCCCTCCCCGCCCTCACAGAGAGCGCCCTGCCCTCCCTCCCCGCTCTCACAGAGAGCGCCCTGTCCTCCCTTCCCCTCTCACAGAGAGCGCCCTGCCATCCCTCCCCTCTCTCACACAGAGCGCCCTGTCCTCCCTCCCCGCTCTCACAGTGAGCGCCCTGCCCTCCCTCCCCCTCTCACAGAGAGCGCCCTGCCCTCCCTCCCCGCCCTCACAGAGAGCGCCCTGGTCCTCCCTCCCCGCTCTCACAGTGAGCGCCCTGGTCCTCCCTCCCCGCTCTCACAGAGAGCGCCCTGGTCCTCCCTCCCCGCTCTCACAGTGAGCGCCCTGGTCCTCCCTCCCCGCTCTCACAGAGAGCGCCCTGCCCTCCCTCCCCCTCTCACAGAGAGCGCCCTGCCCTCCCTCCCCCTCTCACAGAGAGCGCCCTGCCCTCCCTCCCCGCCCTCACAGAGAGCGCCCGGCTCCATTGCTGCTACTGGCCGCTGCGACCGGTCGTGTCATGCCAGCACACGATCGTGATGTCACAGCAATCTCTTGAGGACAGAGTAAGTCAGGATCTTAAGTACCTGGCTTATAACAGACACTTAATGAATATTATGCAGCAAATGAGTGAACTTTCCTAAACAGAGAAGAAGTGAGCAAATTAGATCAATGCTGCTCGAAGTACAGTAACACCATCCAGGGCGTGTCTGTCAGCTGTTGTTGGACTATATGGCAAGGTAAGAAAGAAAAGAAACTTTGTGTCTGAGGAATATGACCTCCCTCTAAATTACCAGACGGGGGCGGGGGGTGCATTAAAATGAGATTGCAGTCGCCTCTCCCTCCTCCACCCCTGAACTAAATAATCATTTTGAAGACACTTGCTATAGAGACTCTCCAGGGATCCTCAAACCTTTGAAACAGGGGCCAGTTTGCTGTGCCTGAGACGGTTGCAGGGCCGTTGGAGAGCGCGGGCACGTTCCACACCTGTGCACCGTGGGCCCGGGACCAGTCGGCTGCTAAGCAGGACAGGCAGCGGTGGCAAAAACACCTGGCGGTGGGATAAATGTCCTTGGCAGCCGCTTGTGGCCGGTGGGCTGCAGTTTGAGGACGCCTGTGAGTCTAGACTGAGTGTTGCACCAAGCCATAAATTACCCTAACAATGCCATACACCGGACACTAGTTCATACATAAATCATACCCTAGAGTTCAACAATGTATGGCCAATCAATAACCAATGTTATTTCTGTAAACCAATAAGAACTCCCAAAAAGCAACTTTCACAGTCGCCCCTTTCCTGGTTCATACCTTTTTCTTTGAAACCTTGAGTCTCTCCTTTGCTCTCGGAAGAACTTCCCAGTGATTCCTAGGCTGCAGTCCTCAGCCCTCAGTTTCCTTTTTTGCCTCAGTTTCCTTCTGTAGGTCAACACAAGTAAGCATAGAAATTGAAAGTACAACATATGTAAAAAGTTTTACAGCAATTGGATAATATCTGTCGACTCTAATAATAAAATTGTATTTCAGTATGTTCTTGGGGTTTTTTCATATTAAATCTTTGTCTTTTTTCTTCTCAAAATTCATTGTTTTTAAACAATATTGATCTGCAATGAATGGAAATTTTTTTAAATGATCCTTTGCCACAGCAGTTTCATCAGATGATCACCTGCTCTTTGGAAAGGGCAGACTTCTTTAACATATGAGAAGTTCCATTTCTAAGAAAATGTCCAGGCAGAAAAAGGCACATGGAGTCCCCACACACAAGCCCTCAGCTAGTCAGATCTGACAACAGCCCCACACGCAAGAACCAGTCTCTTTTTGGAGAGGAGGGAGATCAGAGGCGTCCATCGGGCTCCTCACCTACAGCTCCTGGAGCCTGGCCGCAGCACTCTCCCGCCCTCCTCCCTTCCCCGCCCCACAAACTTCAGAACGAACCAGGGACGATCAGAGACGCTAGCATCAACGTAGAGCAAAAGCAAAATCCGAGGCTCTGTGTTGTGCCAGGATGGGAGTTTTCTTCCCCCCTTTACCCCTACCTTTCCTTCCTCCCCACGGCCCCTCACACGCTTCCTGGGAGGAAGTCTTGTAAGATGGAAGGAAGTGACTAGGTGAGCCTGAAACACACAGCAGCTCTGTTCTGACCAGTGTTTGTAGCCCCCAAGGGAAGGGTGTTTGTTTCTTAGCTGTTTTACTCTGGATAATCAGAAAGACTTGAGCCTCCTCTAGGGACAAAAGGAATCTGATACAGCACCTTCGCCAAGGAGCCCAGCCCTGTGGGTAAGGGCAGAGGAGGTAGAAAAAGATAAAGTGGTGGGCAAGGACAAGAAGGAGCAGAAAGGACCAGAGAGAGAAGAGCCGCACTCTGTCGTCACACTCTGGAAGGAACATACAGGTGACTTGAAGGAAGTTAAAGAGATCTCTGGACTCCACATCTGTCACACTAAGATTTTTCTTTCTATAGCTAGATGTTCTCTACAGCCCCTCCCAGTTTACATGGCCAAGGTGTTAGCGTGTAGAACCAAACAGGTGGGACGGTGACTGGAGTGTGGGAGTCAGGTGGGAGCCCAGGCTGGGGTCAGGTAGCCTGGATGGGATCTTGATTCTGCCACATGCTTGTGTCTGGCTGTGGGTAAGTTTCCTCATCTGTGAAATTGGAATGATAATAGTACCTTTAAGTGTTTACAAGAAGTAAATAAATTAATATATGTGAAGCACATCGTCTCAGAAATATTTGTGATTATTACTATGGCTCTAAGCAAGGCTACACACACACATCGTGTGTGTGTGTATACGCATGCACACACATAGACACTTTCCGCTACGAAGTTCAATAGAATCTCACAGATGCAATTAACAAACATGAGGTTACAGCTTCCTTGGGAAACCAGGGCTAGCTACCACACTGCCAACCACGCGACAGTGTAGGAGTATGTATATGCATTAACATGCTCACATCGAAAGCTGTTCACAACACAATAAGGGAAAAAAGCAGATTGAAAATCAGATTGCAACATATGATCCTGTTTTTGTAAAAATACATATGTGGCTAGGAAAAAATCTGGCAGGATAAATGACAAAAATGTAACAGTGTTTATCAGTGTGATTTTTATTATTGTCTAATTGCTTTGGCCCTTTTCCTAATCTTTTCAACAATAAGCATGTAAGATTTGTGTAATTTTTTGAGGACAGATCTAGAAAAACATCTGTATAAAGAATGTCTTTCCTTTATGATTCTTTTAATATGTGCCAGCCAGGCTGGATTGCAGAGTTTCTTTCAGAGCATGGGCGGGGGTGCAGAGGATCCCGGGTGCTCCAGCATGCGTGAAGGCACGTTGCCGGGCTCACCACTCTGGCAGCTGCTCTTGCTGATGACAAGCCTGGCGAAGCCACCAGCTGGCTGTCACACCGTGTCCTCCTGCTTCTCTCCTCTTGGTAGCTGCATGTTGCTGGCCTTTGCCTCTGACATTTTCATTCTTCTTTTTTTTTTTTATTATTTCAGCATATTATGGGGGTACAGATTTTAAGGTTTCAATAAATGCCCTTTCCCTCCCTCCCCCCACAAGTCTGAGTTTCCAGCATGACCATCCCCCAGATGGTGCACATTCATCATTATGTATGTATATACCGCCCCTTCCCCCTCCCCCCTGCCCAATACCCTATTACTGTAGTACCTATGTGTCCACTTAGGCTGCTGCTCAGTTAATACCATTTTGCTAGTGAGTATATGTGGTGCTTGTTTTTCCATTCTTGGGATACTTCACTTAATAGTATGGGTTCCAGCTCTAACAAAGAAAATATAAGATATGCTATATCACCATTGTTTCTTAGAGCTGAAGAGTACTCCATGGTATACATATACCACATTTTATTAGTCCATTCTTGGATTGATGGGCACTTGGGCTGTTTCCACAGCCTTGCAATTATGAATTGTGCTGCTATAAACATTCGAGTGCAGGTGTCTTTTTGTAGAGTGTCATTGATCTTTTGGGTAGATGCCCGTAATGGGATGCTGGATCAAAATGGTAGATTCACTTGTATCGCTTTAAGGTATCTCCATATTGCTTTCCACAGAAGTTGAACTAGTTTGCAGTCCCACCAGCAGTGTAGGAGTGTTCCTCTCTCTCCACATCCACGCCAGCATGTATTGTTTGGAGACTTTTTGATAAAGGCCATTCTCACTAGAGTTAAGTGATATCTCATTGTGATTTTGATTTACATTTCCCTGATGATTAGAGATGTTGAGCACTTTTTCATGTTTGTTAGCCATTCTTCTGTCTTCTTTAGAAAGTTTCTGTTCAAGTCCTTTGCCCACTTTTTAATAGGGTTATTGATTTTTTCTTGCTGATTTCGTGAGTTCTAAGTATATTCTAGTTATCAGCTCTTGTCGGATGCGTAGGATGCAAAAATTTTCTCCCATTCTGTAGGTTGTCTGTTTACTTTCACGACTGTTCTTTGCTTGTGCAGAAGCTTTTAGTTCATCATGTCCATTTATTTATTTTTGTTGCTGCTGTGATTGCCTTTGGGGACTTCTTTCATAACTCTTTGCCTAGGCCGATGTCTAGGAGAGTGTTTCCAACTTTTCCTCTAGAATCTAATAGTTTCATACCTAGGTTTAGCCTGTTATCCAGCGTGAGTTGATTTTGTGAGAGGTGAAAGGTGGGTCCTGTTTTAGCCTTCTACAGGGGCTATGCAGTTTTCCTAGCACCATTATTGAAAAGATTCTTTCCCCAGCGTATGTTTTTGTCGCTTGTCCAAAGATTAGATGGCTATATGAGGAGTTTATTCAGGATTCTCACATCTGTTCCACTGGTCAATTCCTATTTTTGTGCCAATCCATATTGATTTAATTACTACACAGCTTGTAGTATAGTTTGATATCTGGCATATTAATGCTCCATTTTGTTTTGTTGCCTAGAATTGCTTTTGATATTCGGGTCTTCTTTGGTTCCATACAAAGCCGTAAAATTATTTTTCTATATCTGTAAAGATGCTGATGGATTAATAGGTATGCATTGACTGTAGATCAGTTTGGGTAGTATAGACATTTTAATGATGTGAGTCTGCCAATCCACGAGCAGGGATGGATTTCCATCTGTTTACATCCTACTGCCTATTTCCTCCTCAGTGTTTCATAGTTCTCCCTGTAGAGGTCTTTTACCTCCTTGGGTTAAGTATATTCCTAAGTACTTTAATTTCTTTGTTGCTATTGTGAAGGAATTGAGTCTTTGATTGGTTCTCAATTTGATTGTGTTGGCGTTTATGAATGCGTCTGATTAATGTGTATTGATTCTGTATCCTGAGACTTTACTAAATTCATTGATAAGTTCCAGGAGTTTCTTGGTTGAATCTTTGGGTTTTCTAGATATAATATCATATCATCAGCAAACAGTGAAGTTGATCTCTTCTGCCCTATTGGGATACCTTTAATTCCACTTTCCTGTCTGATTGCTGTAGCCGGACTGCCAGCACTATGTTGAATAGAACTGGAGATAGTGGGCAGCCTTGTCTGGTTCCAGTTTAGTGGAATGCTTTCAGTTTTCCCGTTCAGTATGATGTTTGGCTATGGGTCTGTCATATATGGTGTATCATTTTAGGTATGTCCCTTCTATGCCTATTTTCTTAAGTGTTCGTATCATGAAAGGTGTTGAATTTGTCAAATACTTTTTCTTCATCTATTGAAAGAATCAGTGGTCCTTGTTTTGCTTCTGTTTATGTGGTGAATTGCATTTATAGATTACGTATG